AAGGATCCCTGTGCCTTCTACAGGTTCTGATATTTGAAGGGAAACACAGAGGGAGGATTAAGACCGTTTTCCTTTATCTCACCTCCTCCTGTAGCCCCATAGGCACCTCAAGGTACTCAGAGCTGCACAGGACCAGCCTCTTCTTCAATTTCTTGACTCAGTTTCTTTGACAGAAAGCAAGACACACATTTTCTTTTCGTGGTTCTGTGATGAACCCAGGGTCTTTGCATGCTGGGCAAGCACTCTATGGTTAACCTACATTTCTAGCGTTTTGGTTTTTGAGGCAGGGTGTCTTGAGCTGACCTTAAACTTGCAATTCTTCTGAGTCCTGGAGGAGAGATGATTATTAACTATTGTGACTCTAGCCTTACTTTTGCTACTGTGGTTCAGGGTTATAGCCTTCATTAGCATTATTTAATTTGGTGATGGTTTTACTGCCCTAACTGAGCTTCTGTCCACTGGTCTTCCACCTTCGGTCTTGTTACAGACTGAGTTATTTCTCACAGGATCAATTCCGTCACTCTGGATGACAGTAAGTGCAAACTTATTACGCTCACATGGTCTTTCCTGCTCCAAACTCTTTTGCCCATGGCACGCCCCATCACTAACCTTCCACTCCCAATTACACTAATCTCCTTTGCATAGAATGTTCCTCTGACTGACTGATAGTTAGCTGGCTGATTCCACTACTTCTCATGTAGATTCCACCACACCAGAAAGTCTCTTGACCTGATGTGGCTTACTAACCCAGTTCTTAATACATATTTCATCATAATCTTTTGCATGCATTGTAATAATCATATATGGACCCCAAATAGTATTTATCTTTTAATCATAAGCACCCCCAAAAGGGCTCATCTCAGGCAAATGGGTAAATACATGAGTAGTTTCTTGACTTCCACTTCAAGCCTTTTAGAAATGTAGTCATATTTCTTGGATATCACATGGAGTGAGAACTGTAGACTCTGATATTTCAACATTTGGTCACCAATTGGTGTCACCATTTGGAGAGGTTGTGCATCCTTGCTGGGGAAATACATCATTTCCAGGCATCTGTACTGCCCTGTCCTTGGGGCTCTGACAGGATACGCCCTCAGCTGCAGCCACTAAGAGCACCAACTGTGCACATTCACCATGTGCACCCTACATACCATCCCTTTCTCTCTCTCTCTCTCTCTCTCTCTCTCTCTCTCTCTCTCTCTCTCTCTCTCTCTCTCTCTCTCTCTCTCTCTCTCTCTCTCTCTCTCTGCTGCTCCTGTCTCCAGAGGCCAGTATCCCCGTACCCCGCCCCCTTTCCCCATTCCCTTTCCCCTAATTAAAAAAAATCCTCCATGTGAGCTCTGTCGCATGATGTCTTTCTCACGCTACTTTTTAAATTTGCAACATCATTATGGCCTCACCCCTGTCCGTTTCTCTGTCTCTGGTCTCTGGTTCCTTTGTGTGACTGGGATGTGATCACTGAGCTTCCTTGCCCCTTGCCATTCCTCTGCCACCATTACGAACTCCACACCTCTGGAGCCATCAAAGAAAGCTCTCTCCTTTCGAAATTTCTTGGTATTTATCACAGCAGTGAGAAGTAACTAGCATAGGTACTGATTCACTTTGAGTTAAGTAGTAGCTTGAGTAAGGGCCATTAAAGTAATGATAGTTCAGGGGGAAGCTTAACCAAGGTATTCTGGAACCCAGTAATAAATTATATGGATGACTCATGGAAATAATTGCATGCATTCTGTTGACTTGTAATGGACATATAGTAAAGCTCATTTGTTTAAATTACACAGTTTAATAAGTTCCAACATAGGGCTACAAGACCAACACCACGATTAAGATAATAAACATGCCCATTGCTATCATGTGGGTTTTCCCAGTCTGAAGTTATTTCATATAAAGCTACTATGAGTGTTGAATGTTTGAGAGCACCAGTCTTATGTGTATTAATATGAATATTTTATTTAGGCTGACATTAAAAGCAAAAAAATCTATTAAATGTTTAACTTTTGGGTAAAACAACTATTTTCCAAAGTGGTTATACCAATTCACATTCCCTCACGTAGTCTATCAGAGAGGGAGTGACTGCGTCATCATCAATCATAAACAGCATAGGGGGTACAGCGATATCTCACTGATTTTATTTTGCATTTCACTCACGCCAAACAATCTTAACCATCTTTCCATGTACTCATTTCCTATCTTTGTATTTCCCCTATGAGTTTCTGCTTCAAATATTTTACTATTTAGTAGTTTATTAGTAACTTTTCTCATTGTGACAAAGGAAAGTTAAGGAAGGGAAGGTCAGTTGTGGCTCATAGTTTGAGGATGAATGTCATCATGGTGGGGTCTCAAGGCAGCTGGTCATGATGTATCCACACTCAGGAATTAGAAAGAATATCGTTAGTGCCCAGTTAGCACTAACGATAGTTTGTTTATTTGATCCCAGTATTCTAGCTCATAGGATAGGATGATGATACGTACATCTATTATGGTTATTTCCTTCTTAAACCTCTTTGGAAACAAACTCATGGACTGTGCAGATGTGTTCCTCCTGGTGACTCTATATCCAGGGACCTGACAATGAAGACTGAGCATCCCAGGTTGCCCACATTTTTCTGCAGAATTTGGAGAGTTATTTAGAAACATTGACTATGAGCTATATATCAGATAGGTATTTTTAAATCATTTTCTTGCAGTGCATTGATTGCCTCTTTTGTTAAATTATTATTATGAAAACTTTCAAACTTAGACAAATAAATAATTTAATATGATGAATCTTTCTGTTCCCATCACTCAGGTTCAACCACCATAAACACAGAAATTTCAACCTGCAGAGTCCATAATTATTTAGCAGTTCAGGGCCAGTCATTATTAAAATATGATAAATTATGAGAGATCAGAGTGCTTTGCACAAAGGAAATTCATTAAACTTTTCTTTCACATACACAGACAAATAGCTCGAATCTCCATTACATTTTTAAACAGAGATGAGAGCAAATACCCCTTGTTTACAATTTTATCAGAAAAACATTAGTGTTTAATTATTAAATGTGACATTAGTAGAACATCTTCGTAAGTAACAATCAATGTGTCAGAAGTTGCTTCCTAGCACTAATTTATTGGGATTTTGCTGTTTGTTATGCTGTTATTTATTTAAGCAGTCTCTCACTACAAGACATACACACACACACACACATAGAGGGAGAGAGAGAGACAGACAGACAGTCAGTCAGACAGACAGACAGAGACAGAGAGTTGTAATTTAAGAAAAGCAGAGTGAGAGAAAGATGCCATGTAACAGGGTTCAAGCAGGGGGATCTTTATTAGGTGAAAAGGATCATAAAAAGGGAAAGGGGAGGGAGGAGACCAGCCTCTGGGGACAGGAGCAGCAGGAGAGAGGGAAGAGGGATAGAGAGAGAAAGAGAGAATGTCAACATATTTGCCATTATTTGATACGAGCAGAAAGTGACCCATGTGCTGTTCTGACAGTGGTGCAGAGTAATAATCTAAAAACAGTGCTGTGGTCCCAGCTGAGATTACTGGACCCTGGGGAGTGGTCTGGGTCCTCACAAGTGCAATAGAACACAGTATGATGCCTGAGGCAGAGAAGTAAAGACCTTGAATTCAGTCTCTCCTACTCTCCAGAGTGTGGTTTTAGGAAGATATTGAACATACTCATTGCTGGGAAGTGTGACTAAGTAGGTAGGACCTCTATGTAAAAGCTAAACTCTGCTCTCAGTGGGTGCCATTCACATAGGTAGTACCAGCTGTTGTCAGGATTGATCTGGTAGCCTGGTGGACAGAGAGCCTGGTGGACAGAGAACATCAACTTAAATTCACCACTAAAACTCATGTCCAGTGTTAACTTCCCTGAAAAATCCACTCACTGAGCTTATCAGCCATTTATTCAAAAAATAAAGTTCTGTTAATAAATAACTTAAACTTTTAATCACCATAAGTCAAAGAAACTAACTCTCCGTGATTTATTAATGCAAGCTTCAAATACACAATAACTAACAAGATTTTATTCTGTATAAAGCAAGATTAATTAGTGTATTTGGATAAATTCAGATATTAGAATGCACCTGAGCATTGTTTCCTTCCATATCCACCTCATTTTCCAGCTGTGCCCAGTCCCTGAGTGTCCCCTGCATGACTCTGGTGTAGGTATTGTGCACCAAGTAGCTACTTTGCTTAGGTGCTTGGGAATTTACTGGTTCCTGATAAAACAAAACAGCAGTTTTCCTGTCTTCCTTTCCTCCCTCCTTTCCTTTTTTCCTCCCTCACTTCTTGCTTCTTCCCTTTTTTGTAGGAAACAACTACTACACAGGCATAATTATTAATACCAGATATTTGAAGGAAGATAAGAAACATCCTCTGTCCTCATACTGAACCCAGAAAGCAGACAAGAGATGATTGCAGTATAAGGTTAAGAAATTTCTACCAGTGCTTGAGATATTTGAGAATGGAGTTCCACGGGAGGAAATGCAGCAGCTTTGGACCTGTGCCACTTTGAGGGTCTGAAGAACACTTACAAGACTCCTCTTCATCTTCCTATTCCACTATGATCATGTGGGCCTCAGAGAAGAAGAGACTGTGGGACACGGCAACTCAGGTTCTAGAAACGAACTGTCTTCAAAGACACTGGAAGCCCTTTAGTTTGGGAAATATACAACAAAACAGAAGCAAGAAAGCCCTGCCTCACACAGCAAATGACTATATCTATGACAAGGTCTAAAGCTGGAGCATTCAACAGTCCTGGGTAGTTTCAGCATCACAGAGCTTCAAAATCTAAATTGTGTTGTGAAAGTTCACTCAGCATTGTAAAAATGGATGTCTTCATCTTACATTTTCCTACTACAAAAGTTAAGTATATTTATCCAACTTCAAGGAAACGGAAGATCTAGTGATAATCCTAAGCGAACTTCTCTCTCTCTCTCTCTCTCTCTCTCTCTCTCTCTCTCTCTCTCTCTCTCTCGTGTGTGTGTGTGTGTGTGTGTGGTGTTCGCACAAGTCTGTAAAGACCAGAGGTCAACCTCAAATGTTGTTCTTTAGGACACTGTCCACCTTGATATTATAAACGGAGTCTTCCTCTTTTCTCCAGAACTCATTGATCAGGCCAGGGTGGCTGGACAGTGAGAGGCCCAGGCATACGCCTTCCTCCATGTACTGAACACTGGGATTGTATGTGCTCACCACCAGGCCCAGTTTTTATGTGTCTTCTAGGCAACTCCACTCAGTCTTCATGTCTGTGCAATAAGCACTTAGCTCACTGTGCCTTCTCCCCAATTCCCCAAGGGAATCTTGACCGTTGTGAAGCCATGGGAAGAGAGAATGAAAGACAGTGGGAGAATTGCATTGCCTGTGTCCTAAAGGCCCTCTCTTCCACCACAGATCCCAGACTAGCTCATAGAAAAGGCAATTACAGACACAGGAAGTGGACAACCCATTGTCACAGAGGTAAGTTAGTAGAGACTTGGAATTGTAAATCTGGCCTGACTTTCCATCAAAAGCTAGAATCTCCCTTCATAACGACCTCACTGATGGATTCAAAGAAAATCCGAGTCAATCATGTCTTGTTTGTATTCCTACTAGAATTCAGATTTTAGAGATGATGAACCATGTATAATACTCTTTTAGATTTTGGATGAAGTAATCAAGGATCAGGGACATTGAGGAACTCTTCAGGCATATTGATAGTGGCAAGCTAAAATCATAACATATTCCTGTTCTATCCATTGTTCCTACAAGGCAGAGCTGTCTTCTATCATGAATGTTATGGTCATGTCTTTGTTTATTACTTCCATAGCACTGAACATAGCTACATGCCTTTGTTTATGACCTCCATAGCATTGAACATAGCTACAATATGTGAATGGAAATTTCCGTCCCACCTGGTCCTGCAGCCATTTTGTCCCAAATAAATACACAGAGGCTTATATTAATTATAAGCAGTTTGGTCAGTGACTAAGATTTCTTATTGGCTCTCTCTCTTAATTATTAACCAATTTCTATTAATCTATGTATCTCCGTGTAGTCTTGGCTTACTGGAGAATGACAGCACATCCTATCTTCCCAGTAGCTACAGGGTGTCCCCCTCATGACTCTCTCTCCTGGTTCCTTTTTCCAGAATTCTCCTAGTCTGGTAGCCCTGCCTATACTTCCTGCTTGGCTATATATTGCTTGTCCATTGGCTGAAGCAGCTTTATTCATCAACCAATAAGAGAAACATATATTCACAGCATAGAAAAGGACATCCCCCATCATACATGTCTCGGTTTATGACATCCAAAGCATTGAACATAGCTAAATGTCTTTGCTCATGACTTCCATAGCATTGAACACAGCTAACAAGTGTTCATGGCTATTCCAAAAGTTAAGAAACACTATGATACCATGATGGTGTTTCCTGTGCTTCCTTATTCCACTTGGAAAAGTAATTAGTTGTCTTAGATATGTGGGAACACCAGACCTTGAGCAGAGACCCACTTCCCCTTCTGCCTGGGAGTAGGCAGCTGTAAGACAATGTTTAGTAAAAACATGTTTACTAAAAACGATACAATAAGTTCCTGGGAAAGGCCTTCCCATGGAAACCGCCCTGACCTCGACCTTGTCCAGAGACTAACCGCACCTTCAAAAACCCACACACATCCACCTCTGGTGTCAGAGCAGAACCAGCCAGGGGAGAGGAGAGAGCAGAAGTTTCTCTGGTGGGAGCTTTTCTTAGGAAGTTTTTCTTGAACCTTTTTGGAGCCTGTTTAAAGTTCTCTTTATATCGTTGAATGAGTCTCTGTGTTGTCAATCCCCGACACCCTCCGCACGTTCTCGGACACAGGCCACGCTGCAGATGTGACAATATATTTTCAGACTTCCCAATGGGTGATATTATTTGTGGGTGACCAGTCCAAAATTCACTGAAGAGTTCTTGTCAAACATTAAATTAATTTGGCTAACTGATACCCCAGTGTATATCTTAACCAGAGTGAGAAACTGGGCATGTTTCACAGCTAAATACTTCTAATTAATTGATTCTCATTACTTTATACCAAGTAACACAATCATTCTTAAACAAGTGACACAGTGCTTTATAGAGCATGCTCTCAATGGAAACATACAACATTGTGTACTTAACAATAAAGTATGCTGCATGACTCATCCTTTCTGTTTGTTTTCTCTTTCTCCCCTTATTTTAGTTTTGATGCAAAGTCTTATTCTATAACCCAAGCTGGTCTCCAGCTTACTATGTAGCCCAAGTTGGCCTTGAATCCACAACAAGCCCCCTGCCTCAGCCTCCAGAGTATTCAGATTACAGTGACATACCACCAAGCCTGGCTCTGAATCTTCTTTTCAAGAGAAGCTCTTGAAATACAAAATTAAAAAAAAGAATGCTGGCTATGAAAAATGAATGATACACATAAAGTTGTTCAGTTGGATGAACTTGAGAAGGCATATTAAAGGCAGAGCTATGTCTCTATAGCCCCGGCTGACTGTGGTCACCACACGTCCACCCTCTGGTAAAATTCAGCCTTAGGCTTTAAATCTGTTGACCAATCCAGGTCCAAGGATGCCTTCTGATCTATCCTAGGATCTTGTATGTGGTTTTGTAGTTTTGGTGTGATTGGAGCAGGGATTTTGTGATGTTCATTGGTCCTTCTATGCTTATAACATTTTTAAGAAGATGTCTTGGGCTCAATAGATATTAATTGAATGAGTTTTAATGAAAGAGAGATGTCACCAGTTGGTAGTAATGGACTTGAATGATTATCCTTGTGTTTCTAATCACTGAGAGGTGAGCAGAGTTGTCTAAAGTACTTTTTCCTAGTGGCCCATCCTCAATATATGTAGCCCATAAAATCCAAATATTCTTTTTTTAACATTTTTTATTTTAAATAGCTTGTTTTACATGTCAATCCCAGTTCCCTCTCCCTCCCCTCCTCACGCACCCTCCCACCATCCCCCCATCCTCCCACCCTATTGCCAATTCTGTCCACATAGGGGATATCTAGAGTCTATCATTTCATTCAGGGTAGGGGCCAGGCACTTCCCTAAGAGTCCAGGCAGAGAGAGCAACCCTCTTTGTGTTATGGACACACGATGTCTGTTAGTATTCGAGGGATAAACACTGATCCACTGCTCAGGACCCCATATGTAGCCCAGGCCTCCTCATTGACTCTCACATTCAGGGGGTCTGGATCGGTCCCATGCTGGCCTCCCTGCTGTCGGTCTGGGGTCCAATAGCTCTCCCCTGTTTGGATCAGCTGTCTCTGCTGGTTTTGCCAGCCCATTCTTTGCCAATTTTCTCTTCGCTCCTCTCTCTCTGTCCCTGGGTTCCTTGGGTTCTGTTCAGTATTTAACTGTGGGTGTTTGCCTCTGCTTCCATCAGTCACTGGATGAAGGCTCCCGGATGGTTATAGACATCAAGTTCACTATCAGGAATAGGCATTCGAGGTGGTCTCTACACTATTGCTTAGCTTGCCAATTGGTGTCATCCGTTTAGATCACTAGAGGTCACAATGGTGCCTGATCTGTCTTCTAACCTATGATTCCCTCTTCCCCCTATCCTACCCCCCAGTGGACCTTCCTGTTCCTCCAAGTCCTACTCTCTCTTCCACTTCTCCCACTCTCTATTTCCCAGGTTCCCCTCCTCCCCACCCCTCGCCATGTTCCCCATCTGTTCAGAGGATCTTGCCTCATTTCTCTTCTCTTGGGTACCATGTATATCTTTTAGGTTCTTTCCTTTTCCCAGACTCTCTGTCAGTGGAAGTGCAGACTGGCACTCTCCTAATCCATGTTTAAAATCCATATATGAGTGAATACATACCATGTTTGTCTTTTTGTGACTGGGTTACCTCACTCAGGATGGGTTCTTCCAGTGCTATCCATTTACCTGCGAATTTCAAGAAAATCCAAATATTCTAAGAACAGAAGCACATCAGATAAAAGCCAGAAAAAGTGCTGCACCATGGCATTGCCTTCTCATTAAACTTTCAGCAATACAAACTCTTCATCATTTTGGGAATCAGAGGGAGATAATGGTCCAATCTCAGGAAAACAGTGCTATTAAAAACACAAACCCTACTCAGTGTGTCTTTTAGTTTCCCCTGTGACTCCAATTAAGATCACATCAATTAAGTGAACTTATCATTTTGTATCATAGAGCATTTGAAAATTGCATCAAATTTGAGTTGGCATTTTCTCCCTTCCATGATAAGGAAGGCATCTAATTGCATCACCCTGATTGCATATTTAGTTCTGAAGCAGCTGCACAAACATCACAAGCAATATAGGAAAAAAATACAGGGAAAAATGTATAGAGGCTAACATCAACAGACATATCTCTGAGACAGGGAGTCCTATGGGTGGTTAGTTCTGACTGAGATGACTCAGAATGGGAAGATTATGAACCCCTCCCTGGCACACAGCAGTCCTGAAGTCAGAGCTTTTGTTCATATAACCTTAAATGGTCTTCGCTAGTGGCGACTCTGGACAGTGTTCTCACTCTCGGCAAGACAAAAGATCTCTCCCCACACTGGACCATCTAGCACGGTATCTTTGGGATGGGATCAAGGCAGGGGATGGGCAGCTGCCTGTTCATTATCTCTGGGAAAGTGGTCTAATTTCTGTTGGTACCACCTTTCTGCAAACCTTACAGAGTGCCTGGATGATTTCTGAACTAGTGCATCACAGTCTCTTGGTGTGGGGAAGGTGCACAGGATAACCTCAGTTTCCCTATGTGCCCATGTGTTCACAGCTAAGAGCCTGGGGTATGTGGCTAATCACCTGCCTCAGATTAAGCTGTACACCCTGGAGGAAGCTCCCTCACTTTTCCATGCCTTGTTTTGTCCTTTGTAAAATGGACGAGCAGGGGTTGAGGGTGAACAGTGGTAAAATGTGTGCTTAGTTTGCACGAGGGTCTGGGTTCCACTCCCAGCTCCCTCAAATAAACAGCACTGAAAAAAATCATTCTCTCTGCGAGGTGGGGGATGGTGAGTGAAGGGAATGCAGGCTTCCTGTTCAGCACATTAAAAGTACGTTAGCTCTCAGTAAGTGATGGCTGCTCCTCTGACTGTTTTCCGCATGTGCCTCCTGCTGCTTTCAGACTGACTCCTACAGAATCTGTGTGAGAAGGGCTCTCAAAACCAAATGATACCCACCCCCTTTTCCCTGACAAAGCCTTCCAGAGGAGTTCCAGAGGTACAGGCATCAATGGTCCTTTCTTGTGTGTGTGTGTGTGTGTGTGTGTGTGTGTGTGTGTGTGTGTGTGTGTGTGTGCGCGCGCGCACATACAAAGCCTTCAAGAGAAGCTCCAGAGTCAGAGGTGCAGGTATCAATGGTCCTTTCTTGTGTGTGTGTGTGTGTGTGTGTGTGTGTGTGTGTGCATACAAAGCCTTCAAGAGAAGCTCCAGAGTCAGAGGTGCAGGTATCAATGGTCCTTTCTTGTGTGTGTGTGTGTGTGTGTGTGTGCATGTGCATGGGGGTTACTCCCACCCTCTTTCCTATGCCATGCCTTGTTGTCTGTAAAAGGGGGAGGGTGTAAGCAACACAGAAGAGGACAAAGGAGAGCTTCAGTATTAGTTGATTTGGGGGAGGGGCTGGATTACTGATAATACTGTTTTCTTCTCTGTGCTCTACTACATATTGTAGTACTTATACAATGCCATTTTACAAAATGATGTAAGCAAGCAAACATTATAAATGAATTCTGCTGAAATACAACCATTCTTGAAGGTTTTGAGAGTTAACGCATGTGTTTCTAATGATTCCACATATTCATAGTGTGAACTTGACTCTTGTCAATGCAAGTCTTCTCTTCCTTTCCCTCTCTCTCCCCCTCTCCCTCCCTCCTCTTCCCTCCTTCCCTCTCTCCCTCCCTCCCTCTCTGTCTTCCTCCCTCCCTCCCTTCCTTCCTTCCCCTTGTACTCCTCTTTTTCTTAGTCCTTCTCTTCCTAACTCTCTTCTTTCTCCTTATCTTCCTCTTCCTTTTTTCTCTCTCCTTAAAACAATAATTAAGAGCAGATTTGGCACAAAGAGCTTAGAAAAACCAACCAGCCGGGCGTTGGTGGAGCACGCCTTTAATCCCAGCACTTGGGAGGCAGAGGCAGGCGGATCTCTGTGAGTTCGAGGCCAGCCTGGACTACCAAGTGACTTCCAGGACAGCCTCCAAAGCCACAGAGAAACCCTGTCTCGAAAAAACCAAAAAAAAAAAAAAAAAACCAACCAACCAACTAACCAACCAACCAACCAAACAGACAAAACACAAAAAGACTTTCACAAGTGACAAGGAAGCATTCTATCTGTTAAAAATATAAGCTCCACCTAGGCGCAGAGGGCAAAGGTTCCAGGGTTTCTCTGACCTTCTCTGCTCCTGCTCAGTCTAGCCTGTAACTGTCATGTCTATACATCATTTTAAATCTCCCGCATGTAGTACACACACGTGTGTGTATATTTGTGCTTTCATTGCTAGCCTGTTGGGTTTTGTTTTGAAGAACAAACTGGAAAACCTTTTGCCTTCCTGCTGGACAGTTGTAGCTACCCCCATGGGAAGTGAGGGTTTGAGTCCAAGCTGCTGGGCAAGAGCAAGCAGCTATGCATCCTTGTCTGAAGGTCACAGGCCACAGTAGCCTTCACACAGCCCTAGCCCCAACCTGGGTGTCCTCATGTGCCCCCAAGTACAGTAACAGCGCAGACGTGCTGGTGGTGGCCGCTGGCTGAGCCTGCTGCTGACAGGTGCAAGAGCCGTGTGTCACATGAGTTCTCTAAAAATAGGGCCAAGAAAGGAAGGGTCTCACGTCCAGCCCTCTAGGTGGACTATAATAAGATGTTCACCTTGTGAACACACACCGTCAACCGAATTTCAACACTGTAACTCCCATGTCCACACTGACAGCTGCATTAAACTCTTTGCAAAAGCAGTTAGTTACTTTGATCAGAATAATCCATGTGCGCTATCTTGAGGAGCTTTAACCTGAAGCTTTTTCTGAACGGGGGAGAGGGGAGGATAGACCCATTTTTCTGCATGACAGCCGTCCATTTCTGCGATTCCAGGCAAGCTTTCCCTGCCTCCTCCCTGTCAGCCTTTGTTAGCTGTGACCTTTCAATCATTTGGGATGCTCCTAGAGACTTTAGGGTTTTAGTCTGTCCCCGAGGACACACTGGACCCTTCCTGCTTCCCATTTTCATGATGAAAGGAAAACCCTCTTCCACAGGAGTCCAAAATCAGAGCTGTTGGATGAGCTGGTCTGGAGTGAGTGGCACACACTAGTGTGTTCAGGGAAGACATGAGCAGGGAACACTCCATGAAGCTGGTGTTGCCCAGCGTGTAAGCAGGTCAGGCAGTGTGAGAAGTCTACTATACTCTTTCTGAGCGTGGGAGGCAGGTCCTGCACAGTGGGACTCCACAGGCGGTGCTGTCCCACCTGCCCATTTGACAGTTTAGAACTGCTACACTGCTAAGACAGAATTAGTTTTTATTGCTAAATGCCCAAAGGCAAGGCTGCTGTCTGATGTTTGGCTATCATTTGAAACTACAAAGGATAGGATGTCAATATTAAAAGTGTTGCCCTAATCATTTCCAAAGACTTCAGCGTGCCTTAATCTTATAAAAGAATGATTAGCAACTTTTCTTCAAAAGGGGCTTGTTGTTTTGAGGGGAGGATGGTGGTGTTCATTTATTTTTGCTTTTGGGTGTATTTAGGGTGTGTGTGTGTGTGTGTATGGTATGTGTGTGTGGTATATGTGTATGAGTGTGTATATGTGAGTCGTATATGTGTGTGGTAGGTATGTGTGTAAGTATGTATGAAGTGTCTCTCTCTCTCTCTCTCTCTCTCTCTCTCTCTCTCTCTCTCTCTCTCTCTCTCTCTCTCTGAGTGTGTGTCCAGGTGCATGTGTATGCACTTGCATATGGGGAACAGAGGACAATTTTGAGTGTCATTACTTAGGTGCTGTCCATCTTGTTTTTGGACACAAGATCTCTCATCAATTAGAAAAGGCTGCCCGGCCATCAGGCTCCGAGTATCTGCTTGTATCCCCTTCCCCAGCCCTGTGATTACAATTGTGCACCACTGCCTCTGGCATTTCTAAGCGGGTTCTGGGGATTGAAGTTGGGGCGTCATGCTTTTGAAGCAAGCACCTTATGAATTGATTTACCTAGATTTGATTTTTTTTTCTTAAAGATAGGATAGTGTCATGATGCCTAGGCTTGCCAAGCCTAATCGACCTTCCTGCCATAGCTTATCTGGTGACTGAAGGCGACCATGTAATTATATCACTAGACCCAAGATAAATGATAAATGGGTGTTTGTTGGAGACAATTACACAGAAAAATGCAAAGAACCGCTGGAGCGTTTTCCTGCTCTTCCTGCTGGATCCGATGACTCACCAGCAGTGAGCAAAGGAAAGCCTCCCCTCAAGCTCCTCTTTCTGCTTCTGTCCTCCTGAAACCACACCCAAAGGGGTATGGCCACAGTTACAGGTCCACAGACCAGCCGCCTACAGGTGACTGGAACTACAGGAGTGCAAAGGGAATACTGGCTTGCCCAAAGCACAGGTTTCTTCACAGTTAAATATGAACTATTTACATGGGAGTGGAAGTCACTGGAATTGTGTAAGAGGACAATTTTAGGCCGCAATATAAATGAAAGGCCATGAAACCTTGCTCAATAATTTACACACACTTCTGAACTCCGCTTCATCAATATTCTGCATTTTAATGCTATTTTATAGTGTCTTGTTGTTTTGGCTATCTTGTTGTTAGTTGTGCAATTTTGTGCTTTATCCCCCTCAAAAAAAAAAAAACCAAAACCAAAAAACAAAAAACCTGAATGTATGAGTTCCTTAAAGGAAGTCACTACAAATAGTACGATCCTGCCTTTGATATCTTTGCAGAGCCTCTGATAGACCTTTCTGATTATGTTGGCAAGTGTTGGCTGCATATCTTGGATGTAGGCACATGCACCACTCCTGACCTTGTCAGGATTCCCCTCTACTCTTCTGTGACCACTGTGCCCTGCCCCACCCCTCCCCACAGGAAGACATCGCTGGCAGGCACAGCCCTGGAATCTGTCTCTACCACACACTGTCCCTGACCTGTGCCTCCAGACTTTCCACTCTGCCTTCCAAGTCACAGTCAGCCCCTGCAGAGCGGACTCTCTCCCGACTGGGTGCAAGTGGACCTGGGCCCACATTCCCAGATGCCACACTTACTACGCAGCCATCTGCACACAGAGCACAGGTGCCTGGAACATCTGGGCTTCCTGTGACTCAAACCCCCTGGATCATGTGCCCAGCCTCTCTCATGTGGCCTCTCATGGGGACAGGCCAGTGCACTAGAGTTATTTTTGACTGATAGACTGCCAAAAGGTCTCTGCATAGTAGCCCACACTCTCTGCTGTCCTTGCCGATACAGTGTAGAGTGACTGACTGGAAGGGTAGTGAGTGCCAAACAAAGAGAGGGGACACAGATGTCGTGGTATAGGTCGGGAGCTGGGACTGTCTGTTTCTGAACCCAATACCCGCTCTGGGTATCCTCAGAATACTATCTGTGACTCTGCCTGCCTGTGTGACATGGAATAGGACAACTGCTTTGAACAACTTCTTCAGAAGACATGGAAGACAACTCAAAGGATATAAAAACAATCACAAAAGACGTGTCGGACACACAGGGGGCTGGTTTGAGGTTGAGAACACTTATTTATTATACATTCCGTTTTTATGTTTATTGAATGCTATAGGAAATTACATTTGTATCGTGGCACTGAATCAATAATCCTGAGATACAGAAAGATTGTTCTTATTTTATAGAAATTGAAGCATGGAAAGGAGAAGCTGCCTCTCGGGGCTATGTAGAACGTTCCTAGCAGGGGCAGTGCCGGTTCCAGCACAGGAAGCAGTGCCGATCCTCTAGTTGTTTGTTTTGCTCTGTGAAAGTTGGAATGTATTTGTAATTTAATCAACCTTAGTTATTGCTCATTAAAACTGTTTTTCTCAGGGCCTGGGGAGACAGTTGGTGAAGTGCCTGCCACACAAGTAAGAAGAACTGAGTCTGATTCTGACAACCCACATAAACACCAGGAGTGTGAGGCGGCAGGCTTGCAACCCAAGTGCTGGGTAGGTACAGGTCAGTCCCTGTCCCATCTAACCTGTTCAGTGAGCTTCAGGCCAGTGAGACGCTGTCTGAAAAAGGAGGTGAGTGGTGCCTGGGGGATGACCCCTGAGGTGGTTCTCTGTTCTCCACATGCATGCACAGCTGCAATACATGAATATACACACATTAATGCACAAGTTGCTTTTCTCCTATGAGTAAATGAAAAAACGCATTGTCTCTTCCTCTTTGCATACTTCGTAGTCAAGTGAGCCTGTGACTAGTTTCAAAAAGGGAAGTCTCATGAGTCTCAGTGCACAATGTACTGTGTGTGCATGTGTATACATGCATGTGTGCTCATGTAAGTGCCTCTGTGTGTGTATACATGTGTATGCATGTATATGTGTGGTGTTGCAGTATGTGTGTGCGCGCGCGCTCGTGTGTGTATGTGTCTGTGTGTATCTGTGTGTGTGTGAGTGTTTAGTGTTTGCACATCTGTGAGATAGGAAAACAGAAGAGAATCAGAAGATGATGTTGGGTGTCGTGCTCTTGGCTGTAGTTCTCAAGACACTATACTGAAGACAGATATATGTAGTATGAGCTGTATGAAGCCATGGAAATCTGGGATTTGTTAGTTGCTGGGGTCTATGCTATCCTAACTGATTAAGGACTGTGAAAATGAATTTTAAATTTCCAGAGTGCATTAGAATCAAACCTGTTTGTCTGAAAGAGCTTTAATGATTGTTCCTTTATTCATGAAGGAGATGGAAGGCCAGGCTCCCTTACCACTCTTTCTACCCAAAGTTCCTTCAGCCCTGTGCACTTTAATGTGCATTTAATTCAAGGAAATTGTGGGTATGATCCCGTGAAACATTACCAATGTGTTCAATGTTTGTGATGTCCAGTTGATAATATGCTTGGAAACCCCAGTCATGGGGAGTGTTCCATAGTTTCTAAACACGCAGCGATGGAGAGTCTTGCATAGTTCCTAAGCATACTTGTTTTCAACAATTAGCTGTTAAAAGAAGCTCTTTTGGCTAAGTCAGTCTTTTTCTGCAATGTGCTCTCAACTGTCCCATTCTCTTCAAGTGCCACAGAGAGCACACGGCTTTCCTTTTCATGTCATCCCTCTGAATTATTTAAACAGCGCAGGCGTCCTAAAGTAGTTCTGCCTTTTGGCTCTCCTCGGTTCATTCCTTGTGTTAGATTATTTCAACATACTTAATCAACCTGTCCAGTCTCTGTACTGTTTAAAGGGGTAGGCATCCATAAGAACACATAATATTATAGGAAACATGTCTTACTCTGTGTGAAATAAAATAGCATCATTCTGATCTGTGTGTCTTGTTCACTAACAACAGCTTAAATCCATGAACTTTAGCTCTTGTTTTGTTTTTCCTTAGTGACAGTATCAGCTGTAACACCCCGCAATGGAAGTACCATTCACCATCCATGACAACGTGCTATTTCTGACCTCACCATGTCCCTGATAGAGCAAGCAGCTCCAGTGAAGATACTCCTTGAGTTCATCCACCGGACATCTGCATATGCTGCTGGCCTCATTGTGAGCTTTTACTGCTCTGTCCAGCACACTGGGCTATCTATGTCTTTTTTGCCCGATTATAGGTCTGCTATTAGTCTATTCCTGTAACCTGCCATTGTGTGCTAGCCTGGCACAGAGGAACAGAGGGATTAGTTTGTCCTGCTAATTGGCATCTTTGCTTCTAAATGTACACAGTCTATAGCTGACAATCACTAATATGCTTACCTGTTTATCTGCACTCCCACCCTAGAAATGTTGTGTTATCATCTACCCAACACACGTGCTGTTTGTCATATATTCTTGGAGGAGACAGACTGTGACTTGGCAGGGTTTACTTATATAGAACCTCTGGGTGCTCTGAGGTGGCATTTGTCACAATCCACAGATTAAACGGCTTCTGTTAGCTTACTTTTTTTTCACTTACTCTAGTGAATATTGGCTTGATTCGTCTTTATCTGAAAAAGTCACTCTCCTATTAGAAAAGATTCTGGTGAACTAAGAGTTTGAGATTTGGAGTTCAAAATAACGAATAACTAAATAAAATGAATTAAAGGTATGTCCCTTTTCAAGGGGCTCATGAATTTCATAAGCAATTTTTTTCTAGCTAATCTGCCCACCTTTTTTCTCGTTCTTCCTTCTCTCCCCCATCTCTCCATTTGCTTACTGTAATGCAAGCCCTTAGCCATACTTCAACTATGGCTGGATCAGACCCTTTTAGGAATCTATGGTCCTATAAAATGTGGATGGAAAGGAGAAAAATCTCCTCTTATTTTACTCCTCAGTGACTGGCAGTTTTCTCAGGATGCAACGGGGTATATTCAATGTATTTTAAGTAGGTAAAAAAAATCTTAGTGTTCTTCCCAAGAAAGGAGCTGCGTTTTTCTTGTTCTCATTCATACTCTAAATACGTCTTTAAAAGAGTCCTTTTCCTCCCCAATTCTTTCAGCTTGGTTTTTGTTGCATTGTGCTAGCATGCATGTTGTTCTCCTTTAAAAATTCTATTGTTCTTGGGATTTTACCTCTCTCTTCACACAAGTTCACACTGATTTCTTTAACGCTATAATTCTTCCTTGTCCTTTTGGCATGCACTTCATGCACAAGTAAAGAGCCTGGCGGAGGAGACCCTTGAAGATGTGCTGCTCTGGTCTCTATACCACAGGCTCAGGGACAGGATTGCACCAGCCAAAATCTGACCTGCCAGGTCTCCTAGGAACATGGAAGTTGAGGGGCATGCTTTCTGAGCTAGGCCACTTCAGTCCAGTGTTACAGTCCTGTACCAGCTTTTTCCTGCTCAAGGATGGTCCAAGGATTCACTTGAGACCTCCTCAAGGCTTCTAGCATGGCTGTCTCAATGCTGTGGCTCAGGAACTCCGTCCGCAGGGTGAATTTGTTCCTTTTTGGTTCCTCAGGTATAATGACGTGAGCAACCCGGCACTGGGCTTGCTAGTTCACTTCTCGCCCCTTCATCGTTTGTTTTCCATTATCCCTGGGAAGACTAGGGAAACCCAGACTAAGTGCTTCTTCTGTTAACTGAGCCATCTTGTCCTTGAAGAGGAACACTTGTCCTTCCTTTTGCCTGGAATGTCATTTTTAATTTCCTTCCTGTTAGGCAACTCTAGAACACATTACATGAGGGGCCAGGAGGATGGCCCAGCTGGGAAAGTGACTGCTGGGAACCCAGCAGCAGTGTAGGGGAGGTGGAGACAGGAAGATGCCTGAGGCTTCCTGGTCATCCAGTCTAGCCAAACTGGCAAGTGCCTGCTTCAGTGAGAGACCCTGTCTCAATATATAAGGTGGAGAACAATGGAGGAAGACCTGATATCGACCTCTGACCTCCACATACACAAACATGAGTGAAGGTACTCCTGCTTGCATGTACACAGACATGGAAATACCATCATGGGGTGGTGAAATTCACTATCCACTCATTTCTGGGTTCCTCATCCCATGTCTATGTGAGTTGGGGGCATGGGTGCTTCAACCAATGTTTTGAAAATAACCCTTAGTTTAGAATCCTTCTGTTGGTATACAGATAGCTTTGAGCTAGAGTTACAGGTAGTTGTGAGCTGCCCATCATGGGTGTTAGGATCCAAATACCAACCCTCCATAAAAGCAACAAGTCTTCTTATCAACTGAGCCATCTCCAGGCCCCTGTCCAGTCTTCTTCTGGCTTAGTTGTTTTCCAGGTAAAAATAGCTCCCAAAGAAAGAAAACCAAGGCCCCTCCCTGGATACCATCCACTTTCCAACCTTTTCCACTGTCATCATGTCCCAGTTTCCTCTGCCTGGTGTATTTATGAACCTACAGTTTTCTCTGTCCATGTGTGGCTTAAAGACCACGACCCATGTCCCGGCCATGCAGGGTGGCTCCGGGAGTCAGTCCCCAAGCCTGCCCATGTTGAGAGGACAGAATGTGGAGGGGCACCACAGGAGGGGTGTTTTCAGGTCACAGGCTGTCTGGGTTCTCTCCGGCCCAGTGGATGTGTTTGCAAAGTGGATGAATGACCTTTCGTTCCTGGACACCCAGAGGGCCAATCAGTCTGTTCTCGCTTCACTGAGAAAAGCGAACAAAGCACTTGCCACTCGGAATGAGAATAAAAGATAAACAATGATAAAAATAAACACACATCCCCCAGTTTAGCTAGGACACCCCAAGTCTAACAGATGAAGGAGCCTTTTCTCCTATTTCTTCTGAGAGTAGAAAAAAGTAAGATAAAAACCACTACACTGGAGAATATTTCCAACTGGCATGGGGGTGCGGTGTGCGTACCCAAATGCGCGTGACCCATGCTGCCCCTAGCGTGTTCTCTTCTCTCAGCAGTGCTGGGCATTGTTTCCACTTGGGTGCTGGTGGATTGCTTATGCAATCATCACCTGCCAGGAGTCACTGGCATGCTCACTTGACCCAGACAACAAACACGCTGTTTAGACAGGCATGGTCTCACACACACTAACCAGGGCAGCTCTGTCGGAATAGGTCTGGGGGGGAGGCTTCAGGACAGGCAAGATGACAATCCCGCAGAGCCCCCAGGGAGATGGTTAATGGGTTCCCTACCTGCTCTTCTGGATGGGCTTCTCGCCTCATAACCATATTTATTTTCCTTTCTTTTGCTCTGGAAGGAAAGGAATCCATATTGCAGAACAATTAGAGCAAGAAGTCAGACATTATCTTTAACAGATGACTAAGTGAAGCCAAGTGTGCCCTCCAGAGTGGAGGGTAGATTGACTGAGGATTGAGGGCAAAGGGTCACCTGTAGCCCCTGGCCTTGTCGGTGTAGACAACCATTCTCCTCTTATCCACCTGACACAGACTCCTTCCCAGAACAGGCAGAGTCTTTCTCAGAAGCTACCCTTACTCATAATCCAGTCTGTTGCAATTACACACATTGTATACCAGAATGTGTATAAAGAAAGGCATAACCACTCACGAGGCTGGAAAGGTCGTCAGGGGAAAAGGCAGCAGTGCGTTGTGTGCCGGGCTCGAGGGAGCCAGCGGGAAGCTACTGCTGATGCCTGCTTTGTCCTCCCCAGAGCCCTGTCCTGCCTCGTGTGTGGTTCAGCTTAGCTATGTCATTCCAAGCTGCAAGTCCTCTCATTTTTCTTCTCCAACATTGAAGAGCTGGGTGTTTGAGCTCTAACATACATTTATTTATTTATTATTTATACTTGTGTGTGCGTGCGTTTGTGTGTGCGTCCATGGCTCCTCTCTCGCTCTTCCTCCCACTCTGCCCTCTCATGGTCCGGTTTAGTCTGCAGGTCACGTTCAGACGGAACTCCGTCCTCCCGCCTGCTTTCTCCCTTCTATCTACAACAGAAATCTTCCCTGTACTTTAGGATTAAGCATGTCATCCTCCCTTTGTTTCATTTTCTCATTCAAAACCCACACATCTGTAGCTTACAGCACGACCTTCTGGTTTCCGCATCCGCCTGATGTGCGAACTCACCAGCGTGCTGGCTGGGGTCCCCTGCACATGCCTAGCAGCCTTCCCAAGCCCTCCGCATCTCTCCCCGCGCCTTTGTGAAAAGTCTAACACAGTTCCATGTACTGGATCATTCACGTTGGACTGGATCTGTCGCTTCCTGTGAGTAGGGGGGCTATTAGTGTGTTCATATGTGTTAATACATGTGTGTATTTGGGCACATGGGTGTGTGGGGGCAGAGGTCACCCTTGAGTGCCCTATTTCAAGATACTGTTCAGCTGGTCTTTTGAAACAAGGCTTCTCATTTGACTTGGGGTTTATCTGTTTGGTTGGGCTGCCTGGCCAGTGAGCCCCAGGGTTCTGCCTGTCTCTGCCTCTCGGGGACCTGGATTGCTGGCACATGCCACTACTGCTATCCTTTTCACATGGCATCTGGGGACTGAACTCAGGACTTCACACTCATAACAAGCTCTTTACTGACAGCTATCTCCCAGCCCACTTTGAAATAATAAGATCTTTCTAGAATAAATGGACTTTGCTGACCTCAACGTTGAAATCCAACTAAGTTGGGAGAGGTTATAATTAAGATGTAATTGAGTCAGTCCTTATTTTGTGTAAATGAGGTCTCTGATTACAGCGAATTGGTGATAAGTGGTCTTCAGGGAGCTCATCAATCCCCAGCCTACACACTGCTTTGTCACTTTGCCACATCCCTAACCCCAAAGGCAAGCATGAGCAATGTCTCCAAAGGCAAAGACTGGTAGAGTGAAGACAGTTTCCCAGAATGCAACAGACAGACTGCTGTCCCCAATTGCTTTCCAACTGAAATCTTATTATATCTCAAAGTCCACATATAATTGAACCTTTGTCTTAGTCAAGGTCATTCTCACTTACATGACTGAAAATATTCTAAAATGTTTCCAAATATATCTCTTCACCTTATAAATTTTGATTCCTATAAACTTCTGCCCCCACATAGCCACAACCATGTTTATCAATATATTTTGGCCAGCAGCTCAAATCAAAGGCTAAATGGCTATTAACCCTGTAAGAGGGGAAAGACATTGTAGCGATTCATGCCAGTGCTCTCTTTTGAATTAGGGAATTCATTTCAAAGAGAAATCATGATGGCTCAGTGATAACTCCTGCTGGAGATATTAAGATGCCATGAAACAAACTATCACCTTGATGACTTTTTAGCAGTAAGATGTCTTTTCTAATTCTTCAGTGCTCAAGCACACTGTGCTTAGCTGATCCAGGCTGGGTGAAGGCAAAGAAACCCTGCTTCAAGCCACAGGCTTAGATCCAACCGGACATGGGATCCTGTGCGTTCCATCTGTGTTTATTTGGGCCTAAGCTTGAGTCAACCCCGTCCTATCATTGTCGTGGACAGGAAAATAGATGGCCAGGATGCATTCTGGAGCTCTGTCAAGGTCATGTTCATTGAGACTTCATTAGTCAAAGCAAGTCCTGAAGGCAGTATAGCATCAATGATGTGGGGAGTAAAACTCACTCATAGAGGGACAGGGGGACAACTACCCAACAGTATCCCAAATGATCCCAAACGTCTACCTTAAATATCAAAGAGCCCAGATACAATGCCTTGGATACCTCTGATTCCTGCACTGTGTTTTTTT